TTTTTTTTTTTTTTTTTTTTTTTTTTTTTTTTTTTTTTTTTTTTTTTTTTTTTTTTTTTTTTTTTTTTTTTTTTCATATATGCAAGTGTGTGTATGTGTATATATATATTTATCCCCTTGGTATACGGAAGGAATGAAAAATCTTCGAAGAAAAAGAAAAATAACATAGAAGACCTAGAACAAGACATAAAGGACTTTGACCATCTAATCTAAAGCAGAAATTAGGCTCCTAGGCTCTCGCATGCAGAGTGGTTCAATTTCAGATGCATGCCTCTTCATCTACATTGATAGCTCTCGAATCTTGATGATCCTCTTTTCCTCCCGTTCCTTCAGATTCTGTCTCTTCCACTCTTCTGTCTCCACAAACTTCTTTATTTTCTTTAACTATGCCTTTTTCATGCTTTTCTTCCATTCAAGAATCAAGAGTATCATTCCACATTTTTTAGGTAAATGCACTTTTCCGCTGTTTTTCTTCATGAAAAAGAACTTGAACTAATTTTAAAGTGCAGCAAAACCAAAACCAAAACCAAATTTGGTCATTTATGCGTTAGTTTGAAGTTTTCCTTTATGGATAGTTTGGACTATTTAGAAGTTCGCCAAAACCAAAACTGTGACAACCATGAGTTAGCTGTGGTCAGCCAATGCAGATGGAAAAGACGTTAAAGGGAACAAGTTGAAGTAATGATGACCACCTATCTAGAATCTTGTGAACAACCTTGGCAACCAAAGTAGTAAGGTAAATCAGTTGTTCTACAAGAATAGTCTTGGTATACCTAAACTAGCCTAATATTCACGGTAGCAAGGAAAAAGAAAAAGCACCAGAACTAAGTTTACGAACAATATTGTTGACATATTTCAATTGTTTTGTACCTCAATGAGTGAAGGTATATAGAGAAAGGAATCATCTTATATTTTCTGATGCTCCTTAATGAAGACGGTGTAAGCTTTCTAAAAGTTTAAATGCCCGTGATTTCACTTCTACCACTATTGTTAGTGTGGCTGTTGTTGATCACCATTGAGTTGATGATGGTATAAATGTCGATCTAATGCTTCTTAGTTAAAGATGTACTTGCTTTCTCAATGTATCACCATTTGTGACGCCAATAGTTGCTGACTGATTACCCTTCAAGAAATAATCCATAGCTGGGATAGGTAACCCCAATTAGGAGAAGATATAAAATTTTCTGGGAGTCCTTGAAGTTATAGAAGACTTCGGGCACTTGATGAAGATTTCATGGAGCTAGTGGACTTGGACTAACAATGGGGATAAGTTAGAAATGAATGTCTATGCAGAATATTCTTAAAAATGGGGGATGAGTTAGAAATGAAGATCTATGTAGAACATTCGGGAATATGTAGAGGTTTTTGGTGAATTGGATCGAATATGTGAAGGTTTATGAAGTTCTACAAATATTTGGCCCCTCTTAAGTTTTGAAGTCTTACCATTTAAAATTCAAGGTCCCTAAAGAACCATGCTTCCTGACAGGACAATAAGGTCACTAAATTTTTTATCGTTAGGAGACCGGGAATGCGAGCGAGAATAGATAATTTTTCTTTTTTAGAGAAAAGTAAACACTCGTCAAAAATTTTGTGGGAGCAATAGACCAATCATTAGAGAAGTGATTTTTGTTTCTATATGGTTCGGGATAGGCCATATCATTTAACTATATATCAGCTCTACTGTAAGGAAAAATTGCTTTGACATTTTTAAGAAAATATTACTGTGATGGTATCAGTGTTTTTTCCTCTCTCCTCTCACCCTCTCTTCGATTCTCTACCCACCACTCCAATTTCCCAGAACCTCGAACCAATACAAAAGTCTTCTCTGTTTCTTAGCGTGCAAGCAAGACCAGAACCCGGTTTTCCATGTTTATAGCAGCCATGACCAATTGAAAGACCGGTGTCTCTTCCCTCCTCTTTCGGTCGATTCTTCACATTCACACCAATAACAAGAACGGAATTCCTCATTTGTCCTTCCGACAGCCAACAAAAGGAAGTTTCTCCATCTATTTCGAACCATCAGAAATCTTAGTATTTAAATGGCAAGATTTTGAAATATAAGTACCAAACATATATGGAGTTCAAGAAATTTAAGGACCAAACAAAAATGTTGATGATTCTAAATGGTGAAGAGGGATTTATTTAAATTGTTTGTTCATGTATTATTTGTCTGTATATAAGCAAGAAATCCAAAAGGTAAGCATTAACAATACACAGTCTTATATCGTTTTAAAATTTGAGTAAACTTCATTATCGAAAGACGTAACTTCAACCGTTAGATAAAAACTAAGAATTAATGAATTATCGAAGGAAGGAACTATGAAATCTAAATTGAAACGTTAAAGAACCACTGAAGAAATCCAGAAATCAAAGTCAAAGAACCTCCTAGGTAACAACAGAATCGAGGACAAAAAGTTCAAATGCAAGTATGAATGAACTATTAGGGAAACAGCCGATGAAAGGCTGCTTATTTACTCATTGTCTTTCCTCAGTCATGAAGGAAGCCTTTCTCAATTGTTCTTCAGTTGAGGAATGGCGGTAAGAAGAAATTTTGTGCTTCCTTCTTTTACGAGGATACATGTGTAACCTCCTTTCTATTAGATGGTAAGTTCTTTTTTTAAGGGAAAAAAAAAATGTTAAGACTTCCATCCCTTCCCCCCAGAAAAAACCGTGCTTATTACAAATTACAAATGTAGCTTGTTTGCTTACGATTGCATTTAGATGTTAAAATTGTATTTGCATGAACTGCCAGTTTCAATTACATCTGTATGTTTGTTGTTGGAAATGCTCTTTGTTTGTAACATGGCCTGCCTAATATGTTAGGATACGACCCTCATGTCAGCGATAGTTGTTTTCTTTTTCAATATCTTTGAGCGTTAGTCTCGTTTCATTCACTTAATTGAAAGCTTTGTTTCTTGTTTTTTATTTAAAAAAAAGACATGCAAGCACATGGATGATAGTAGCTCCTATTTGATAACTATTTGGTTTTTAAAAATTAATTTTATAAATATTACTTTCACCTATGAATTTGTACCTAGTTTTTACACATGTTTTTAAAATCCAAACTAAGTTATAAAAACTTAAAAATATTCTTTTAAAAATCTTTTATTGTTATAGAAATTTTGTTAAAAGTTTAAATGTTTCCTTAAGAAATATAGAAAGCAAACACAATTTTCAAAACCAAAAAAATAATCTGTTATCAAATAGTTTCACTTCTGTCTTGCTCTCATTTTCATTGTTTTCGGTGGTTGGATGGTTTCTTGTGGCAATGTCAGTAGTGGTGATTTGCATTCACTGATGGCACAGAATACTCCAATAGTTTCAAATCTATAATGCCTCTGCCTGTTCTTTTGTGGGAAAGCATAGGATATTTTTTTTAACATTGTACGTATATTTTCAGGTGAAAATGTCTGAAGAAACAGTGAAAAGATTGACAGGAGTGAACCCACTGCTTGTTGCCATGTCTCAGAGCCAAATGCCATTTGTGAGTAGCCAAATGCCAATGCAATCCAACTCCCAATTCTTCCACCAAAATATGTCTGCCTTCGGAAACAGCCCTCCACATCACCGAAACTTGGAAGGCCCTGGCGGAAGATCACAGAATGACGTGGCAACCAAAATGACTGATATGGCCTCCGTGCACCATGTAATTGATGATATTGATCCTGTGCAGAAGCATGCCATGCATGGCCCCGTATCAGGTTGGGATGCAGAGCCGTCGCATGCAGCTCCAAATCAAAAGAACTGAAGGATTAAATCTGTCGTTTTTGTAAGCAATATTTCCTCTTATATTTTCATTGGGGATTGTGGGCTAGGATTAATAAGATAAGAAAAATACTCTTCTTACCTTTTCTTTTCTATTCTATTTTCATTTCATGCTCCACTACTCTGTATTAAGACTCGGATCTCGTTGGTTTAGGTTTTTTTCTTTTTTAAAGAAATCAGTTTTGTAGTTGACAAATCTCTCACTTTGTTTCACTTTCTTTGAAGGAAACCAGAACAAAGCAGGCTGATCGACATTTCTATTTTCTAAGCTAAATTCGAGCTTCAAATTATTTGAATCTCTAATCGTCTTGTTAATAGATATGGGCTTTTCCTTCTAGACTCCCTCTTAAGATTTTAAAACGTGTACGTTAGAAGAAGTTTCTCACGTCCTTACAAGTAATGTTTCAATTCAAGCTTAGAAAGGTAACGGGCTAAGTTCATTGCTATCCAATATTATTTTCTTTGGATTTTTCCTGTTTCCCTTTCAGGTTTCCTCTAAAGATTTTCAATGCGTCTACTACAAGAAGGTTTTTCACATTCTTACAATGAATGTTTTGTTTCTCTATTATGACACGTGGTTAGGAATTGAATTTAGTCAGTGATCTGAAGCAGGAGTTGATTTCCCGACATTTTTGTAGAATGACATTTTTTTTAGTCGATTAAGAATCCAAACGGGGTAGAAATGTAAATTGGCGAAAAAGTAGCCCCTTTTGTATTAAGTAGCAACATTCTTAAGCAGGATAAAGCTTTCTTTTTTTGTTTTCATCTTGTTCTCTTCGTTCTTCAACGCTCTCCGTGGAACCAAACTCAAAGAAACAACTTCCAGACACACACAGCGAGAAAGGGGAAAACATCAAGATCGAAACCAAACAAACATCTTGCATGTAGATGCTATTCGAAATCCCCTTTTCGTTTCCGTTATTAATCGATTCAGTTTCCCCCCGTTCGAGTTCAGTTCCATGGCGAACAATCATTCTGCTACACTGGCCGATGATTTCTTCGAGCAGATTCTTGGGATTTCCCCTTTTGGTTCGGTGGAGCAAGGTAGCTGGAACTGACGGGACTTAGACGGAGATGTTGCTGCTGCGACGTCGGCGGCTCAAGGTCAAGCTCCGACGATGCTTCAACTTAGTTCCGGCGACGGCGTTGGCCACATCACTGAGATTGGAAGTGGAAGTGGAATCGGTGGAGCAAGGTTTCATGGTGGAACCCCTTTTCCTTTAGGATTGAGCTTGGACCAAGTTATTGTTCTTTAAATATCTGTTGACATGGTTGTTCTTTTTTGTGGGATTTAGTGACTCTTTTTCAATCTTTTTGCAGGTTTATCAAGGCCAACAAGTGCATGCTACAATGAGCGCAACTCCGCAGCCACCAGCAATGCGCCCTAGGGTAGGGGCCAGACGAGGGCAGGCGACTGATCCACATAGCATTGCCGAGCGGGTAAGATAGAAAGTAGTTTGGAGAAATCATAAACGGGTGACCGTTGGCAGATTAGTTATTTACTTATCTTGTCTTAAGAGTAATTTTCATTGCTACTTCCCTTTTGTTATAGTTACGAAGAGAAAGGATTGCAGAGAGAATTGGGGCTTTACAAGAGCTTGTTCCGAGCGTCAATAAGGTGATTGTTCATGATTTTAAGTCATTGGAGTATCGAGCTAATCATTCCCATTTCACTTTCAGACAATTCACGAGTTCTCGATTTTGGTTTATAAATTCTGAAACTTAATCCTTAGAAATGAGCATAGATTCTTTTCGTGTTCTTGTTGTTTTCCAAAATCTTGTTTGCATAACTAACCTGGAAAAACATTTGATCACAAGGATTTCAAATGATCATAACCTGTGGTGATTTTTCCCTACATGGCTAAGATCTTAATTGTCAATAGCTCTAATTTTTCCTTTACATGAATGCATCCGTGAGATCCCACGTTAGTTAGAGAGAGGATTGAAGCATTTCTTAAAAAAATGTGAAAAATTTTCCCTAGTAGATGCATTTAAAACCTCAAGGGAAAGCCCGGAAGAGAAAACCCAAATAGTACAATATTTGTTAGGGGTGGGATTGGGCTGTTACAAATAATATTAGAGCCAGGCACCAAACGGTGTGCCAGTGAGAACGCTGGGCTCCCAAAGGGGTGGATTGTGAGATCTCATCTTGGTTGGAGTGTAAAACGAAACATTCTTTATAAGGGTGTGGAAACCTCTCCCTAGTATACGCACCTTAAAACCTTGAGGGAAAGCTCATAAGGGAAAGCTCAAAGAGGACAATATCTGCTAGCGGTGGGCTTGGGCGGTTACAAATGGTATTAGAGCTAGGCACCGAATAGTGTGTCAATGAAGACGTTGACTCCCAAGGTGGGTGAATTGTGAGATCCCCACATTGGTTGGAGAGGGAAACAAAGAATTCTTTATAAGGGTGTGAAAATGTATCCCTAATAGACCCATTTTAAAACCTTGAAAGGAAACTTGGAAGGGAAAGACTAAAGAGGATAATATCTGCTGGCGATGGACTTGGGCGGTTACATACATTCACCTATGAAATTGAAAAATGTGTGGTTTATATTTTGATAGTTTATTTAGGACCCATTTCAAAGAGGGAGGGGGACATTTTGATGCTAATATCTTCTCTCCTCCACTTAAAATAGTAGATTTTCATGGATGCTTGAGTAGCCTGTTTACTATTTCCTAGAGATAATGCAATGTCTTCTAAACGTTCTTGGATTCTCAATCTTAGTGTGTACTCATTTTCTTCCCCTTTCTGGGTAGACGGATAGAGCTGCTATGCTCGATGAAATAGTGGACTACGTAAAGTTCCTACGTCTCCCAAGTAAAGGTAAATTAATATCCTTCTAGCTTTTCCGTTGAATCAACAAGTTTCTTAAATGTTTCTACTGAAGCGAAGTCGAAATCATTTTAGAGATCTCATAGTCATAATCAAATTGACCTTATATTTCTGGTTAAACAAACTTGATAGCAGTTGATATCTATGTATGTGCACTGTCGATATACGTATTTGTGGTTCGCTGTAGAACCGGTTGCTTTCCAGTTCCTTATTTAAGCGTATTTCATTCTTTATAAGAATGATATCTATGGAGTTGAGGTGAGGTACGTTATAAATTTTAGAAGGATGGCTGTGGCTGTACGAGTTTTTTTTAGATGCCCTTGTATATTCTTTCATTTTTCTTGGATGTAACAGTCACTTTTCATATCCTAGTATTTATATCCATGGTTGAATTTATGTACTTTGCAGGTTCTGAGTATGAGTAGATTGGGTGGAGGTGGTGCTGTGGCACCACTTGGAGGGGACATCCGACCATCATCTCTGATGGTACTTTTAATGTAACAATCTAAGTCCGCCAGTCGGCCCTCAGTAAATATTGTTCTTTTTGTGTTTTTCCTTCTAAATTTCTCTTTAAGATTTTAAAATGTGTTTATTAAGAAGAGGTTTCACACCTTATAAGGAATGCTTCGTTCTCCTTTTCAACTGATGTGGGATCTCACAGTCCACAACTGTAACAGCGCATGCTCACCGTTAGTAGATATCGTTCTCTTTGTGTTTTCCCTTCTGGACTTCCTCTCAAGGTTTTGAAACGCGTTTGCTAGAGAGATTTCCACACTGTTATAAAAAATGTTTTGTTCCCTTTCCAACTGATGAAAGATCTCACAATTCACAACGGTAAGAGTCTAAGTTTATCGCTAGTAGATATTGTCTTTTTTGGATCTTCTCTCAAGGTTTTGAAATGCGTGTGGAGGAGAGATTTCTACTTCCTTATAAATAATGTTGAGTTTCCCTCTCCAACTAACGTGGGATATTACATTTAAAAATGTTTTTTTTTCCTCTAGTCTTTTCTACGTGCTTGATAGTTAAAAACAAAATCTTAATGAGATGGGGATTTGTATTGTAGGAAGAAGGAAGTGAAGGCGGTAGGAATCGACCCGAATGGGAGAAGTCGTCGAAGTCGTTGAACGACGGTACAGAGAGACAAGTTGCTAAGCTCATGGAAGAGGATGTGGGAGCTGCAATGCAGTTCCTTGAATCAAAAGCACTCTGCATCATGCCCTTCTTGTTGGCTTCAGCAATTTATAACACACAGCCACCCGACACCTCGAGACAGAGTAACTCTCCTTCGTAGAAACCACATGCATTCCTAACAAAATGCTAATCAAATCAAACAATCTTAATAAAAAAAAAATTAAAAATAAAAAAATAAAACGGGTCCCACTTGAGTAGGACCCATGAGGTTCCATTTTGTCCAATTAGTCTACGTGGGGCCCTCTCATCACATGGGGCTGTTTTTTTAATGCTTTGAACTCCAACGGACGGCCCTGGATTTGAGGATCCGAGAAAACTCAATCCTGGCCGTCGGATTCTGGTCCAAGGTCTTTATTGGCTGTCATTGTCCGAGTCTTGTCCCCTCCACGTGGAACCACAGTTTCCAGCGTGTCCTTCTTTCGGGGAACATTCATATCTGTCGCTTCACGCACACGAGATGCCTTCCACACGTGTCACCGCCATCTCGTTGGATCGGTGCTCACGTGTCATCCTCTTTGTATTTCTTCTTAATTTAATTTAATTTAATACTATATATATATATAATAATAATAAATAATATCAAGACGCGTAATATAAATAAAAAATCGAGATAGAATTAAATCATCTAAATGATATGATGTAAACTACAATAAAATCTTCATATATTATTTTTTTTAGTTTAGAAATTATAAATAATATTGAGTTAATTCATATATTATTTAAATATTACAGAAATAATACCCATTTATGTATAATTTAAATGTATTATATTAAAAGAAAATGGATAGTAGTTATAAAAATAGTTTAGCCATGAAATATATTTAGAAAATTATATATCCTAATACTTCTGAATTTATAACATAATATATATTTTTAGTGGTAGGTAATATAAAATCCACTTTTATTTATTTATCTATTTGTTTGTTGGTTTTAAATTTATGTAAAAAAAAAAATGCAAAAAAAGGAGACACGTGTCAAAATTTGTTTGGTAGAGTTCATGCAGACCATACCGTGCGGCTTTAACAATTATCCCCCTCCCATTCTATATATTCTCTTTCCATTGCAAACTTTCTCTTCAACTCCAAAAATAGAAACTTTCTTCATAATTCTTCGCACTTCAATTTCCCTCTAATCTTCAAACACTTCAATTTCCCAATCTAATGGCTAAATTGGCTGTTTCTGATGACCGAGATCTCAACCTCCAAGCCACCGAGCTCCGCCTCGGCCTCCCCGGCTCCGACCAGCCCGACCGCCGCTGCGGATCGCAGCCTAACAAGAGACCCTTTTCAGAGATTGATAAGGAAAATGACAGTCGTGTCTCGGATGCTGAGAATGGCTCCGATCAGAGCTCGCAACCTCCTCCCTCCAAGTAAGTCCTAGATCTTGGATACACTTAAAAGATATAAGTAATTGAGGCATGATAAAAACTTGTCTAAGTCTATAAATTGCCTTTTATAGAGGGCAAATTGTTGGATGGCCACCGATTCGATCGTATCGAAAGAATTGTTTGGCTGGAAAGAAAAGCGAGGCGGAAAGTTGCAACGGAGGGTACGTGAAAGTGAGTATGGACGGAGCTCCATACTTGAGGAAGATCGATCTAACCATTTACAAAAGCTACGTGGAGCTTGTAAAAGCCTTGGAAAACATGTTCAACTTCAATCTTGGTAAGAGAAATTACTAATGATCTATCAGCTTAAACTTTTGAATTAGTTAGTCTAACGATAGGTTCAATATCAGGCGGTTACTCTGAGAAGGAAGGTTTCAATGGATCCGATTACGTTCCAACATACGAAGATAAAGATAGCGATTGGATGCTCGTAGGCGATGTCCCATGGGAGTAAGTTCGATCTTCGTTCTTTTATAGATTTCTCATAACTAAGCAATAAAGAACCTTTCTGATCGAAAATTGAAATCTTTGAAACGTGCAGAATGTTCATCTGTTCTTGCAAAAGGCTGAGAATCATGAAAGGATCGGAAGCCAAAGGGCTTGGACGTTTATAAACTTCCATTGAAGCAACTTGACAGCTAACAAGAGAAGAATGTAAAGAACAAAGAGATTGTTTTTTGTTTTTTTAGATCTTTTCATTGCAAAAGGAATTTAGATCCAAATTGTATTGAGGGTTATCCATTATCCCATATACATTTGACACACTTTTACTCAATCATACGTTCAAAATCTATTTTGGGTTCGAGAATTTTGGAAATTGATTACTTGTATACTCTCATCTATACGCTTAAACTTTTGAATTTATCGTGTCGAAGATTGGTGTGTGAAAGTCTTTGTATTTGTGTTCGAACTATTGTAACTCTTTATGTTTGTGAAATTCTTTGGATTGATTTGTAGGTTAATGATGTCATATGATATTGGATCCGTTCAAACAAACTCAAATTTCTTTGAATTTGTTTAGACAAATAAGATCAAGTGGTTTTATTTTATCGGATTTTTGTTTCTTTCTAGAAACTTGATATGAAACTGTTAAATCTTTGCTAGCAAGATTTTTTTGGACTTATTTGTCCTTGGGGTATACACGGGTTAGATTGAATTGGGTTGAAAAATTTTGTTGGACACACCTAAAAAATTCAGGCGGGTTGAGTTGGTGATTTGAGGAATCCGAATAGGGTTCACACGGTTGGTTGGGTTATTGGGTTATTATTTTTTTTAAGAACTAAATAAAAGAAAAAAAAATATTTATCCACAATATATATCAGCACAGTTACAAACTTCAAATATTTTTAATCTTCATAATAATCTTAAAAATAGGGTTGGATTGTAATCCTATTTTCGAGTTTGTCAGGCTGATCCGACCAAGAAAGTGTCAACCCGTAAATCAACCCGAATGTTCAATTTTTCAAAAATTCAACTCAACCCAAACGGACCCAAACGGAAGAAAATCTAACCCAACCTAACTTTTACGGTTTGGGTTGAGTAGTCCAGATTTGTCAAATCTTCGATCACTTGAACGTCCATAATGTGCCCACCGACATACAATATCAATCCTACGAGCAATACTCAATTGGATGATAATTAGAATGGATTTTCTTTTGTGGTTGTGGTAGAGTAAATATAAGAAAAGATTGTATAAACTTCTATATATCTAGCAATAGTAAGAGTGAGTCGAATCATATTTCAAGGCTATCATTTATACGATATGTTATCGTCGAGTGTCACTTCCATATACGACAATATATACATTTAGGGTTTGTATTAGATCTCAACATATATTCAAACTTGTCAGAGTTAGCTCATAGACTTAAAGTGCCACCTACCGTGGTCTCTTCCTTGTCTTGTTTGCATTTACATGAAACTAAATTCGAACAGCAAATCATGAGTTGTACTATGTGACTGATACTTTCTTTTCGGAAAATCACTGAATATAAAATTGCTCTAAGCAAAACATACTTAACTGTGCAGTTTCTATGATTAAACTACCCTAAAGTAAGTGCACGTTATTGGTATAAATAGTAACTTTCAATTCTTTTAAGCATTTCTTAACCATTCTATTCTCAAGATCGTTCTCATTCATATACCCATCTTTATCCGAGCATCGCAACTATACCACTAAATATCAAAACGAAACAACCCTACAAAATAGAACCCAATACCCCACAAACAAAGGTGTAGGGCATCCAAAGAGATTAGGGTTGTGACAAGTCCACGAGGAAAGGGTATGCACCAAAACAAAGACAGCTCTTGAAGAGAGAGAGAGGATAAGAATTACTAGATAGAGAAAGAGAGAAAGAAGAACATGTCACAATTCATCATAATTGCTTAACAAATTCCTTGCCCTCCAAATCCAACTCATCCTTCAGACAATGGTTGGTCCACTCGTCTTTAAGCTTTAAGATCGATCGTGGAAGCAATCGAATATCGTTATCATTTTTATTGTCACATTATCACTCTGTCAATCAGATGAAAAATTACATATGAGTTTTGAATGAAGGGATGAAAATGGTTTGAGATTAAGATGATTGACTTTGATTTGATGTTTAGTCGACCGAGTTGGTGTTCAAATACAATGTATTTGTGAGACGAACATGACCCATAAAGTTTAAGTAATGTGTGTTGGTAGAATGAATGCTACAAGAAAACTACTTTGTGTTTATGTATTCGTGCATTGAATCTTCGCCTAATTATTGTATTCAAAGAGGGATGAACTAAGCTATGTTGATGTGTTCGTAAAGCTAAGTAACATGTCATCATTAATTCTTTAGTATCGAAGATAAGATAGCTAAGAACAACTTAAAGAAAATGAAATTTACTATCTATATCAATAAGGTGCAGTTTGTTTTTCGGTAGCTCAATCATAAGAACATCATGGTTAAGTGTGTTACAAAACATGTGGAAGAATTTAAGTTTGGGTTCACGGTTTAGGGTTTAGGGTTTAGGGTTCACCTGTGCGGTGCTCCACAAATTTTCCATTTTTTTTAAATAAGAAAATTAATTAAAAGGGTAATTAATGTCTTGAAAGATTCCATAAATGGTTGGGCCACACGTGTGGACTTTGACTAATGGGCCAATGTCCCACACGTGTCTTTGGACTTGTAGACATTGGCCGGCCCAAATGACCAAAAGCTCTTCCCCCACCTTTCTTTTGATCCATCTCTTTCATCATTTATTTACATATAATACATTTTTTCCTTTAATTTTATCATTTAGCACCATTTTTATTTAAAAGTTTGCTATTTAGTCCCTATAGTTCGAGCTTATTATCAATTTAGTCCTTTCGGATTTGATCTTTACGTTCAACCAAACTTGATTTGTTACTGTATTCATGAAGGATCTCGTATGGAAACAAACTGATGTTTTTTTTTATTTGTTACTGTATTCATTGGTATGAAACCTTTTAGAGAAACAAAAAGTAAAGTCGTGAAAAGTTATACGGTGGACAATTTATACTAATATGAAGATCCGTTATTTTTATCACGGTGTCAGAGTCATACTCTTATCTTAACTAAGTTAATGTCAATAGAACGTGTCAAAAAAAAAAAATTGTGAAACTCAAAGGTATAATCCTATTGACTCAGGTACTGAACAAAGGATGGAATTTGTTCGAGGTCTCTAGAGATAGAGATAGATGACTCGAATGTGGGTATATAAGTGGTGGACTCTATCTTCATTGATATGAGGTTTATTAGAAACTCACGTTCTATGAGATCCCACATCGGTTAGAGAGAGGAACAGAACGTTCCGTTTCAGGTTATCAAGTTTTTTGAACACCCTTAATTATACCTGATCGAGTTTAATGGTTTTCACATGTTCTTTAACTTAATCTTACACCAAATATCAACAATGCCCTAAAAACTTGTTTATTATGTTATGTATCTTACACAAAGGGCAACACTATTATATTTTTAACAATCCTAGGGCCGAAACCTACTCCCTTCATACGTTTGCTCGAGTATTTAGCTCATACGAGTTCTAATCCTGTCGAACTATATCAAACCCTAGAACTGTAACAGCCCAAGTCCACCGTTAGCAACTATTGTCCGTTTTGGCTCGTTACATATCATAGTCAGCCTCACGATTTTAAAATACGTCTGCTAGGAAGATGTTTTGTATGCCCTTATAAGGAATGTTTCGTTCTCCTCTCTAACCGATGTGGGATCTCACAAACCCATGATTCAAAACACTTTCTTCATCAATATATGATCGAGATCAGTGTAAAGACTCGAGAGGAACGTAATTTAAGGCCGAGCTTCGTTTTCTTTTTGTTGTAATTTGTTGTTGATTTGATGTAAAAGTAGGTATAGCATAATACTATAATTTGAAGTTGATAGAAGAAAAAGAAAGTAGGGAGAGGGGTGAGTGAGTGGGATGCCCTGCACCGCTGCACATGGGATAGGGTTTGAGTATTGGGTGACACAAACCCTACAACTTCACATGTCCAAATTAAGTGGGTTCCACCCTTTTCCCTTTCAAACCTAATGAATCTATGCACATGACTTGCCCTTCACCCCCTCCATGTGGGCTCCTATTCCCCCACCAACTACACAATTTTTTTTTACGGTTCGATTATCAAATCTCGTCTTAGTTTCAATTTTGTATATGTTACGAGAAAACCATCGATTTAACCTAAAATTTTAAGTTGTTTGTACAAGTGAATCGATATTAATTATTGGTAAAAGAATAAACTTTCAATTTTTTTTCTATCTTATCTTTAGGTTCACTCTCATTTGAATATGTTCTTGATTCATTCCTGTGTCCCTCTTTTACTCAGGTGTCAGAAGATTATAGATCAATTAGACATGTAATTGAAAGTTTTTTAGATTTATTAGATACAAAATTCAATTGAAAAAAAAAAAAGATGTTTGTATAGGTTAGCTCACCCTTTTAATAGCTTATGTGAGATCTCATGTTAATTGGAGAGTGAAACGAAACATTTTTTTATAAGAGTGTGGAAACCTCTCCCTAGCAAACGTGTTTTAAAAACTGTGAGGTTGACGACGATACGTAATGAATCAAAGCGGATAATATTTGCTAGCGATGAATTTGGATTGTTATGAAAGGGAGTGGACAACGGGCGGTGTGCGGGGTGGATTGTGAGATCTCACATCGATTGGAGAAAGGAACGAAACATTCTTTATAAGGGTGTGAAAACCTCTCCCTAACAGACACGTTTTGAAAATTGTGAGGCTGACGACGATACGTAACGGACCAAAGCGTGTTACAAAGAGAGGTGGACACCAGGAGCTGTGCTTGGTCTACTAGCGGTGGGCTTGGTCTGTTACAAAGAGAGGTAGACACCAGGCGGTGTGCTTGTGAGGACGCTAGGTCCCGAATGAGGTAGATTGTGAGATCCCACATTGATTAGAGAGAAGAACGAGTACCAACGAGGATGCTGGGTCTCAAAGGGGGTGGATTATAAGATCCCACATGGGTTGGAGAGTGGAACGAATCCTTCTTTACAAGGGTATAGAAACATTTCTCTACCAAAACAGACAATATCCGTGAAAGTAAAACATCATTCGATATAGCATTCCTCATCAGCCTCAACAAATCAATACCATAATCATAACACTAAACTTTGTTCAGCACTTAACAAGCATGGGCAACAAACAGTCACAAACCCTTTTCTTTCCAATGCATTGATTTCATCAAATCATTCATTCAACAAATATGATGATGATCACAAGAAATTTTCTCATTCATTTTCCTTCACCTTCTCACCATCCAAACACGTATATATATATATATATATATATATATATATATATATATATAGTAATCTTTTATGAAGTGGGGCATTAAGGAAGTTTTGGATGCAATTTGATAATGTGGCCACCATGGTGAACGTGGGCATGCAATTTTGGGAACAACATCTCAACCAAATTGCACTAAAATCTTTCAATCTTGTGCGCATGCTCTTGCTATATTGCTATGCTTTTGATACATCAAACACTTTGGTTTGCAAGAACTTGCTTTTCTTTTGTTTGTA